GATTTCTCAACCACATCTAACTTGCTGTTATGGAACCATATTTCCAACTGAATGTTCTTTTCCCTTTTCATTTCAAATTCTAAACAACATGTAAGATGGAGGAAAGGGCTTGTTTTGAGGAAGAAGAGAAGGGAAGCTTCATTACACAAACCCAAAAAATGCATTAAGGTGAAGTTGCTAATATTTGGGTTCATGAACAGAAACCCAGATCTGGGTTTGTGTTCATGTGAAGACAGACCTAGATCTGGGTTTGTGAAGCCAGATCGAGTTTGGTTCATCAACACAAACTCAGATCTGGGTTCACGATCATGAACCCAAAGAAAAAGATGGGAGGAGAGTGTAGAAAAAATCTGAGTAGGGGTGCGAAGTAGACACAAAAACAATGATAATAATAAAATAAAAGGAAAAAGGGAGGAAACGGTTGGAGGAGAGGGAGATAATGGAGAACAGTTATTGAAGTAATGGGGGTGAGGGAGATTAATGGAGGAAAACGGTTGCTAGAATAATGGAGAAAAGGGAAAAGTTAATTGCTACAGTAAAAAAGGAAGTTATGTGATATTAAGGGTCAGTTATGTGATATTATGAAGGTAATAAATATAATTATAGGGTTATAAACCGAGTTATATATTCGACTCTTCAAACGAAAAATTTAAAATTATTGTGAATTACAGTAAAGAGTCAACTCTATGAATTCAAATTCGACTCTTCTAGGCACTAGAGTCGACTATACCATAACAAGAGTCGACTTCAAATTCCAGAGAGCAGGGAAACAATTTGGTTCAACACAGAGTCGACTCTTCACTAAAGAATCGACTCTTAACGATACATATTCAACTCTTAGTTACATATAGTCGACTCTTTTTGCTGCAGGGAAGTAGAGACTTCCACTTTCAAAGTCGACTAATCTTTCTTAGAGTCGACTATTGTTCTTCAAAGAGTCGACTCTCAAAAGTTATAGTCAACTCTTGGGCGCGGGATTTGATTAAAAGCGTGACAGTTCCAGTTTTCCCCATTTTCCCTCTCTCTCCTATTCAACTCTCTGAGAAACCTAACCCTCAAAACAGCCAAAATCCTCCCAAATTTCACAAAAATAACTCACCCAAACACAAACCCACATCATTTTCGACCCATTCCTCTAAGAATCGTGCATTATCTCCCAAAATGGTGAGGACTAAAAGAGTTGTGAAGAAACCAAGGGGGTAGGCGGCAAGCACTTCTGGAAGGCATCGAAGGACTAAGCAAAGTCCTGAGGAGAGTGGTGAAAGCACAGACACCGAGCAGGTATTTCAACCCGATAACCCTCGGAACTTTGTATCTGCAAATGCTATGGAAATATATAGAAATTTAGGAAATAGGAATGTCATTTATGGGTTTAGAGTAGTTTTGGAAGATATATGCAAAGTGGGGTTGCATGTAAGAGAAATGTTAGATGCAAGAGAAATGTTAGATGCAATGGGATGGACTGAATTAGTAACTAGAAAGGTGAGGGTTTACCCGCAATTGATTAAGATTTTTTATGCAAATTTGAGTGACTCGGAGGATGGAGGGTATAAAACAACGGTTCTTAGGAAGACTTTTGAGTTTGATGCTGAAACCATAAATGATGTTTTGCATTTGCCAAATGAGGGAGCCAGGGAATTGCATGCATTTATAGAGGAATCAGCAAAGAAATCTATCATGGGGGATGAGTGGAATGAGGGACAAACATTAAGCATTCACCACTTGAATTTGGAGAATCGGTTAATTTTTTGGATTTACAATGACATAATTTTGCCAAGGCAAGGTTCTTTTGGGAAATTTAGTGGTCCAGATTGTGTGTGGTTTGCATATGTTCTTAGCCAAAGGTGAATCAATTTAGGACACCATATTATGAGACACATGGTGTATTATAGGGGTAGATCAACACTCGCACTGGTGTATGGCACTCTGATCACGTTACTTATGGAAAATGCGGGTGTTGATTTGCGTGGTATGGAGTCCCGAGACTTATACCGTCATGAGCTTCTGAACGACAGTTCACTGAACAAAATGGGGTATGTATTCAATGCAAGAACAAATTCGTGGGAAATGAAGCAGAGAAGGAGAAGAGGAGGACAAGATGATGAAGGTGAGGGGTTTGATGATGAAGAACATGCCGAAGAAACTGAAGAAGCAGGTCCCTCACAAGCTGCTTCATCTCGAGTTCCTCAAAGATTAAGCACACAGAGAAGAATGCAGCTCATTCTCGAGAGACTTACACGGATTGAATCGAAGCTCAATGATCACATTCACGAGTGTCAGATGGCAGCACCTATAGGTCTTCGAGGGACAAGAAGAGATCCGTCTACTGCTAGCACATCCTTCGAACAGCAACCACCTGATTCCTTTTCACATCCGGACGCATAAATCCGGATGTTGCAGTTGTTGATGCCTGTTAAATTCTCGTTTTAGTGTATGAACACTGTTTGGAAGGTTTTATTAATGTTCTGACTTTTTATATACTTGAATATGTACGTATAATATTGATAGTAGATGCAGTTTTAATAGAAATGAGCATATCATAATTGTGATGATTTTGTTTGGTTGATTATGTTCTTGATGTGCTTCCATTGATGGCGAGCAATTTGGTAGTTCATAGTGTGCTTGAATGGCAATGTGTGGTTCTTGTTTTAAAGTTTGATGTGCATGTTAGTTTTTAATGGATCATTAGTATTTTTTACAATTTGTGATTGTATATAGAAGGATTTTGAAGTTTATTTGATAGTAATGTATGTCTCATACTCCATTCAATACAGATTATACCATTGATGTTGCTGAAAAAAAGGTAAATTCTGGAAAACCAGAAAAATGGGCTTAAGAGTTGAATATATCACTCCATATTCGACTCTCCAGGCTATGAGAGTCGACTATAAAGCATCAAGAGTCGACTCCCAAATTCCAATGAGCGGGAAATGTATTTGCTACATCTCATAGTCGACTCTTCATATATAGAGTCGACTCTTTTGACTCTATAATGTGAAGAGTCGAATACCAAATTCCAGAATGTTGGTCATATATTTGCTACAAATCCTAGTCGACTTTCCATTATAGAGTCGACTCTTCTGGCTTTAGAGGCGACTCTATATTTGAAGAGT